CGCTGAGAGCATCATCATCATCATCATTTAAAAGGGACATGTGATCCAAAAATTGCATTTTGCACTGCCACATGGGTCTCTACTGCCTCTGTAAACACTTTAAATGTGAAAAATCTCTTCCGTTAGTGTTTGGTTTTAGGAATTATAAGCCTAAACAAATTTCTAAAAGTCCCCATTTGTGATGTCACAAACAGGGAAGTCTTGCATGTAAGAGAGCTGCTGCTGCAGGAGCAGCGGCTCTACTGAGTCTCTTGGCTTGTAGCAGCTAAATGGGAAATGGGTGGGTGTGGCCAACTCCAGCTTGTTTTCTTAAAGGGGCATTATGGAAGTTTGACAGCCATAACATGTATAGAAATAATAAATGTCTTCTTCATACATTCTCCTGCAATGCCCTGGTCCTGCAGAATGAGCCCTGGCATTTTTACTGTGATTGCCTGTTTTTCTGTAAAATCACAGAAAAGAGAGATGCTCGGGTCGAGCAGGCTGCTTCATGCGCGTTCACGCCCAGTCATAGCCCTCCGAACCGTTCTTAAGTGGTACTGATTCAAGTGACGTCACTAGCGCGTTAGCTCGCCTAGTAAGACGTCAGACTTTCGTGCAGAAGACCGGGTTCGATTCTGGATGTGAACATAGTTTATTTAGAGTTTCTTTTTTACATTAATGGTATATTTTTTACAGTAAGATGCCCAAATTTTTGTTTGAGACTCGCCGAACGGCATTGAATTCACAGATAAAAAAGATGTGGGTTCAACTTTCATTTCGGAACAATTTTTCAAGAGCATGCAGGAGGACTGACCCATCATAAACCTTTGTCGGCTGTGCTGAAGAGAAAGGTACAGAACCAAATTATTTAATTAATTAGCTGCGCGTTCTCCTGTCCCCTGTCCTCCGGGCCACACACACACACACACACACACACATGGAGCTGACTGTCTCAGCTGTTATTTTCGTTAAGGAGTGTGCACGTACAGCATGCGCGCCTCGTGCACGAGCCTACTATTGAAGCTGCCGTTACGCTTTTGGCCTGAGGGGGCAATCGCGAGCATAAAAATTCAAAACTCCGTAAAGTCCCTTTAAAGTGACAGAGCCAAGAAACAACTCATTCTGGAAGGTAGTGAAAAAGTTCAGTTAAAAACTGCTGGAGTTGCTTAATTTGACAGAGATTTAGTGCAAAGTACTGAATCAAATGTTCTTCATCAACCATAAAACTTTTATAACTAAGAAAAAAAAGTTTTTTTTAAGTTTTAAAGGATTAAAAAAGCAGTGAATGGGAAGGAACTATTTTATTAATGAGGTCACAAAATTTAGATCAACCAGTTAATACATCCCAAAAGTATTTTATAAAATAAATAAAATCCAGTTTTTTAAATAAAATGAGATTTACTATTATTACCTTGAAACTTAATATAAAGGTAAAATAAGAAGGTGCAAAACAGTTTTTGCTCAGATTTTCCTAAAAAGAACACCCAATTAAAGAATAGAATGAGTTAAGACTTGGTAAAAGTTATTAAATGAATAAACAAAACACAGGTAAACTGATATGTTTAGTTTTTTTTTTCCATTCAAAAGTCAGCTGCTCCCAGGCCGTTCTACAGGCAAGGCCCCTTCTCCTTGGTGCGTTTGTCTCCGTGTCCCTGTGATGGACTGGCATGTCGTTATGTCCCGGATGTCCCTGGCCTCTCAGCCAATGACCTCGCGACCCTAGTGAGGATAAAGCAATTCTGGATTAACCTGTAACTCCATAATTTGTTCACTCGGAACAGCCGTAGTTTAAACTCGCTGATATCCTCACGTAAACTCTTATTTGATGGGATTCTAGTCCACAGAGGCTCCATGCAGACCCCAGCAGCACAATAAGTATTAATATCCATAAACTCTTGAATTAATTTGGTCTCATCTGGACAAAAAAAAGCTGAAACGGTCGGAGCAAAAAAAAAGTGTGTGTTATAATAAAATGTCTTTGTGTCTGTATGAAATGTTTAAACTGTGTTTAACTCAACAGGGGTTGCAATAGATGCAGTAATGTTAAGAGACGCCATCACAGAGATGTTAGACCTCAGCAGGGCAGCGGGCTGACATTTTCAGCCAGAGATCACACTGTGCAGAGAGAAAAAAGTGATGTGTGGTGGCAGAATAATACCTAAATTACCATTTATGGCTTCAACTTTAACCAGGAAATGCATACGCAGTTGTTTGGATGACGAGCGCTTCAGAGCCGCAACTATTTTTAAACCATTTCTTTTATTCAGGAAGTCTGTTGCAACAATTAAAGTGTGCACATTAAAAAGCGTGCAAAAATAATTATCCTCGTTGCAAGTGGAGCACAAACGAGCTGTGCAGGTCTGTTAAAATCAGCCCGAGCATGGATTGGTGAGGCCTTCAGGTGTCTTTGTGTTGCACAGCTGCATCCAGATGTGGGAACATATCTTTGGTGAGCATTGTGGTCGTCTTTTCAAATTAGCAGCCATCCAGCCGCGTTTCAACAGGTCGTAAAGAGTATTGGAGTCCTAATCCCATCTGAAGGAGACCCTGGAGGGTTAAAGGAAGGATTAGATTTGGGATTATCTAAGAATGATCCGGTTCTCCTTTTCCACGGTGGATAGTTCAGCGTTTACAGGATGTTGCGGACAGAAGTAGGGGATGAATCTCCTCTGTCATCTAGGGTTTGATGTATAAAGAGGCGTCTTTGCTTGCTTTCTCCTGGGAGGTGGAAGTTTCTTGAAACGCGAATCCAAGTGTGGAAAAAACCCTCAAAAGCACAAAATAGTGAAGGGGAATTAAACTGGATGCCTGTGTTTCCCTCTCTCTGGATAGCTTCCAGCACCTTGGTTGTGGGTGTGTGGAATGTCTGTAACAGTGTGTGTCTGTGTGTGTGTGTGGGGGGGGGGGGGGGGGGGGGGGGCGGGGGGTAACTCTCCCACAGTGCTGAACAGAAATCAATTAGTGTGGTGAATGTGAGGGGATTGAATCCCCCCTGTCCCTTTGTTAATATGTGTGAAACAGCTGCTGCCACTGAATACTTGCACAGCAACATGCGCGCGCGCGCGTGCACACACACACACACACACACACACACACACACACACACACCGCTGTAGGCTGAACAGCAGTGGACACAGCACACACAGCGGAGCGATGAAGAGGGTAATATTGTGTAATTAAGGATTCCTTTCAGACTGAGGGAGAGTTCAAATAGAGCTGTTTGTCTGGACAGATGGGCTGAAAACTTGGTAACTCTGTGTGTGTGTGTGTGTGTGTGTACATGAATGCAAGCGTGTTGGTGTCTTCAGCTGGGACCACAGATGCATTAATCATTAAGAAAATTACCTTTCACCCCCTCTTTTCCACCAACATCCCCACGGTTATCAATAAACCAGCCCCCTGAGAATGAGCAAACACTTGTTCACAACCTGTCACGCACGCACACGCGCACACACACACACACACACACACCGGTCAGTCTTCCCTTGTATAAACCCGCTCGCTGTCTTTGGCGAAATGAGATTTGTTTGTTTCCTAAGCCACCCGGTTCTTCGTTTTCTCTCTCTCTTTTTCTTAACCCCGCCCATCCAGCCACCGTTGCCATGGCATTTAACAAATTATTGCAATTACCCTCGTCATGTGGGTCGCCCCTGGAAACGGGCTGAGGGGCAAAGGAAGAAAGGGGATGGAAAGAGAGAGGGTGAATGAAGACCAGAGAAGGTGATAATCCTGTTTTGAACAAAAGGTCAAATTGTTCAATAGTGAAGCTTTGATTAAGCGGAGGAGGTACAAAGTGGAACCGTTTGAGCTCTTTTCACTCGGTGTGTGTCTGTGTGAGAGTGTGTGTTTGTGAAGTGGACCAAATTTTTTTTAGGTCTGTTCTCCTTGGAGCTAGAAATGTGAACTGAAGGCAGCGAGGGGTCTTTTTGGAGCTTGTGCGTGGGACTCTGGCCGGTGGATTCCCCGGCTAGAGGGGCTTCTCTACTGGAGTGGACAGAGATCAAACAATCCGTCAATATGTTCTCCTGATTGATAGATATTCATGACAAAACAATCATCTACAAATAAATGCTGAAACAAATGGTGAAGGACTCTAATTTGTACAGCAGATGAGTTAAAGCTCCTAAAGTCGTGTTTATGCTTGAAGCGTTAACTTTTATCACCTGAAAGAGGAAATCTTGGTCTAAGGAGGTAGTTTCACGCAGCTCTGCTGATTTTACCCGCCGTGTCTATTTTTTTAAATGTGTTACTTTTTCATACCACGTGACACTCGGATTGGGCCAGAAAGGATGTCAGACACAGGAGCAGTGTAAAAGATCTGAAAACTTTCAAAATAAAAGTAAATAAATACAGCAGCTGGGGCAGCAGTAGCTCAGGAGGTAGAGCGAGTTGTCCAGTAATCGGAAGGTTGCAGAGAATGCTGCTGTAGTGTCCTTGGGCAAGACACTTAACCTGCGTTGCCTGCTGGTGGTGGTCGGA